GGGGCGTTGAGAGGAAGAAACGCGGGCGAGGCTCTTCCGCGTGGGCGCTCGGTCGTTCTCTCGTGCCGGCTTTGTGATGTCGCGCGCATTGTATTAACGCGCGCGCGGCTTCGAGTATAATAACCGAACAAATGAGAGGAAACGGCAATCGTGAGGAAGATTTACCAAATGATACCGGACGGAATCGCTGCTCTCCCAGAGTACCCTGCGGCACCGGGGGGTGGTGGCCCTAACAGCCGTACGTACGAACGAACGAACGAACGGACGCGCGCGAGACGCATGGCATTTACTGTCGATCGCGCGTGCGAGAGGGGGAGGAGGAGGAGGAGGAAGAGAAGAGGCCGCCTCCGGTTTTACCATCTTCTCTTTTTTCCCCTCGTCGTTCGCGACGCGTAGGCGAGACGACGGCGCACGAGACGCCGCCGAGAGAGAGAGAGAGAGAGAGAGAGAGAGAGAGAGAGAGAGAGAGAGAGAGAGANGAGAGAGAGAGAGAAAGAGAGAAAGAGAGAGAAGAGAGAGAAATAGAGAGAAACGCGAATGCGCGGGAGAAGTAAATGCCAGGTGTCCTCGCGCGGGTATCAAGAGCAAGAGGAACGCGTCATCCCGAGGAAGACGTATCGAGGAGATAGCGCAAGCGGACTCTTCCGTCTCTTTTTTCAGTTAGTTTTCTTTTCCCCCTTCTGTCTTCTGTGAATTCTCTGCTCCCTTCCTCCGACTGTCTCTGTGTCTACGTACCACCCTCATTGCCGTCTCCGCGAAAACCGCGAGGTTCGCGTGTCTCCCGGACGGCGGCCGAGGAGGAGATGAGAAATATTCTCTATTGCGCCGGCTTCCCGATAAACGTCGTCGCTCGAGTTGACGAGTTCCCCGACGGTACCGTCGAGACACGTGGTGTGAACGCCACGACGTCACTACTATTGCTACTACTAATCTTATTCTTTTTTTTTTCTGAAATAAATCGTTAGGTAAAAAGACAGACAGATGGAAGACTGTTCTTTCTTTTTTTTCTTTTATCTTTTTGTATCTTTCGCGTATCTTTCCGGCTTGTAGGCTGCACGCGTTGTAAGATATTAGCGTTTGGAAAGTTCGACGAGGAGAACTCTCGATCGCGGGACAGAGAACCGCGCGTTTATTTACGCGTCTAATAAATGTATGTACTTAACGAGTGGTATCCATATAAAATGTGTATATAGCATGTCTATGTATGCGCGTACACGTGTACATTAAACAACGACGCTCAGTGAGAACATCGGCAACATCGACAATGTGATTAGCGCGTAAGACTGTTAAACTCTTGTCGTGGTGTAGATATTGTTCCACAGTATGTAAAATGCCTACTGTTTAGGCGGGGAGAAGTGAAAGAGAGAAAGTGAAAATAGGAGAAGAAAGAGAAAGAGAGAAAGAAAATAGTGTGCAACAGAGAAAGGGAGAGAAAGAGACAGGCTGATGTAGAGATTAAAGACTGCGTATAATGGGGAAAAAGAAATTAGAGAGAGAAGGTCGCGTATCAAAGAGATAGAAGTGAAAATGAGTAGACAGAAGCAGACAGATAGGTCGGAAGAGTGGTACAGAGAGACAGAGAAAGAAAAATGAGAAAGAGAGAGAGAGAGAGAAAGAGAAAAAGAGAGACAGAGTATGGGCAGATACCGCAGATAACCGTCCGATCGATCGATCAGTCAATCGACCTGAGGCTTTGCTTAAATCTACTACAATGAGTGTATTCACGTATTCACGAACATCTATTTGCCAGGATGTCGCCGGATTGGTATACAAGGTGGCCGTCTTCGTCGTCCTCGACGGAGGGCGGTCGTGGGCTCTATTCGGGCCGGCGGTATCAGTAATCGACGCGTGCCAAGAGAAGGACCCAATCGCAGGCCGCGGACCACACCACCGATGGTTCGGTACCCCCGTATCGCGTCGGTCGATTCGTTATCGTCGAGCGGAGGCGTGGAGGTCGCACCCGGGTGTAGTAGTGGTTGCGTGTGTACCCGGGAAGTCGAGCGCCGTGTTGTTGTAGCGGGTAGTCGATGACAGGCCGGTCGGTCCACATCAGCGTCAGCGCGAGGGCAGCCATGAGGTCGTCGTCGTTCATCAGAAGGCGGCCACCAACCGTCCCGGTAACACCCCACCGTGTCATCCACATCCAGTGTCACCACACCACCGCCGCCACCACCACCGTCGCGAGTCGGCCGACGAGACCCGTGTAACACGCGGCAGAGGACGTGTGTAAGCACGGGACGAGTGTGTCGGTGGGGGGTAGGAGGGTAGGAGGTAACGCATCATGGGCATCATCATCATCATCATCGTGATCGTCGTCGTAGTCGGTCATCGCCACCGCCATCATCATCATTATCATCATCGTCACCATCGTGATTGTGATTATGATTGTGATCATCGTCATCATCATCACATCATCGAGTGAGAAGAGACAGAGAGAGAGAGAGTGTGGCCAAACCGATCCGAGCGCCCGCCAGTCGACCATAGTGAGGGCGAGAGAGACCAATCCGTCGTGTGTGCCATATCCATTTCCATTCCATTCCATTCCATTACAACGGAGATGGTAACCCAACAATCAGAGAGAAAGGGGAGAGGGCAAAATGGTTTGCCAAGTCAGAAAGTCGAGGTAACGAATTTACCATTTTTTTTTGTTTCGGCACAAAGCGCGTGACTATGTACCTTTCTTTTCTTTATGTCTTATCTCTCTTTATTTATTTTTCTTTCACGACACTCGTTTTCCTATTCTTTTTTTTTTTGTTAATTACTTATTCGTTTGAGTTTCGTTTGCTTTTATTTTATATTTTATCTTTAATTTCGCTCGCCTACTCGCGTTTTAACCCCGTATGTATATATATATATACCCGTGCTTAGAGACCCGGTTATGCGCGTGCCTCGAAGGAGAATCTCGTCTCGGACACGTGCACGGCTCTATTGTCGGGCTTAGAGCACTTCGTACGACATGAAACGACCATGAATGCGCATTTTAAATGTAACGTAGACAGATAGAGAAAAGCAGAGAGAGAATCATGTGCGTTATGTACATGTACAAACCGCGGCAAGGTACATGGAAAATGATATTTTAATGATCATATATATATGTATATATATATATATATATATAGACATATTTTCGTATACACATGCATTTTTTTACTCCATTAGATCGGCGATTACTCGGCGAACGGGACAACGAATTGTTCTCCGTTTAATATCGCGACGACAGTTAGAAGAAAATAGAAAAAAAAAATAGAGAAGAACATAAAAAGAAAAACCGACGGACAGCTTCTTCGAAGTGCTCGTTAGACGCGTTATCTGTTTCGTTCTTTTACGTTCTATCTTTTCTTTCTCGTGAACACGTTCGGAGGGGTAGCTCTTGTTAAATTGTTAATTGCTCGATAGATCGTCAAGTACTTACGTGTGCGCGCAAACGGCTGCTCCACGACAACCAGGAGCGGAAAGCACGATCGTCGTGGGACAGGACCGTTGCGACTGTTACGGAAAGGCGACACTGATCGGCACGATTTTTCGATCCTACCTTATCGAAAAGCACGACGCGCGAACACCGATCGATCTATCTGTTACGGATCGCCGATCGCTACTGAGTCATTGCTATACACGGTGGAATAAAACGGAAAGTATTCGAAGAAGAGAAGCAGGGCCGCCGCGTACTCTCTCGTAATTTTCGCGCGTGCCTCATCGTCGGAACGACGCGGTCGTCAACCGTTGCGACTATTACGACGTGACTGCAATTCTGATCCTGCTGAGGTGTCGTTGGATTTTTTCCGTGTATTGCCAGCCGTCGACGCAACCAGCGTGCTTTGATTTAATCGTAGACCTTTGATAAAGGGACACTTTTTTTAATACGCATCTGGTAATTGTAAATCGAGCTTCAGTATTGATAATAAATAGCGCCTATATCACGAATGCATTTTGCTTGTGGAACACAACTCTCAGAGCCGAGAGGAACTGAATTTGGGATCGAAAAGTTCATCTTCTGAAACTTACTTGGTAAAAAATTTTTTGTCAAAAACGTTGCATTAAAACTTTGTGTTACTTTAGCACAGGAAATGTGTTAAAAAGTACACAAATATGACGTTAAATTAACATCAAATATATAACATTAAACACATAATGTTTAATTAATATTCACCTTATCAATATATTTTAATTTGTGTTAATTTAACATTACATTTGTGTACTTTTTAACAAACTTCCACGTTAAAGTAACACAAAATTTGTTACGGTGTATGAAAAACAACGATCGCTTTGTAAAAATGTCGAGAAAATTTTGTCTATCTTGCAGATACAGGATTTAAAAAAATTAGGCCCGTGGCACACAGAAGAGAACGTAAAAAAGGGGGGGGGGGCAGTAAATAAATTGACCAGTCACGGTCGATTATTTTTCAACCGTAAGGAGAATAATTACTGCGATTATTTCTTACTGCTCCAGTTTTACTGTTTATGTTTCTGTGTATGCCACGGTCCTTATTCTTCCGAGCAGTATTGAATGCAGCCGGGGCGATTAAATTAAGATTTGTCATCCTGAAATTCGTCAAATATAACAAGTCAACTATCGAGGATCATTTCGACAGCTTCGACCGTCGAATCGTCGCGTGTATTTCAGCATTCTATATTTATCAGATCGCGCGCGTGTCAACGCGCGACGACAATAATTTTCACAGGAGAAGACAAAAGCGACATAACGAGATTACGAAATCGAAATCGTGGATGATCGATAAGGCAGGCTCGAGGGCAGGTTCCAGGTCTCCGGGTACTTTCTCACGGCAAACACGTCGACGCGCACATGCAGCGTTTAGCTCGTCAGTCACGACTGCGAGAATGCAGCGGCAACTACTATCGACTGGTTAATTATCCCCGCGTTCGAAAAAGGTGAACGACGACGACGACGACGTGGCCGGCGATGAGCACTGCCGGCCTGCACCACATCGCCGCCGCCGGTCCACTTTCCAGGATCCTGAGTGATAGTATCCACGCGAATTTTCAGCCGGGCGTTTGAACTTCGCGTCGGCTCTCACGGACACATCCCGCTGACCGCAAGCCGCGCGCTTACTTCTAAAACCAGCTTGCGAGCGATTCGGCTAGCTGGTTAATTAGACCGACTTTCCGGCGACTTCAAGTCACCGACGTCGCGAGAGCGTGCGGGTGAAGAGGAAGGTGCTGAAACGGAAGGAGCTCGCACAGGAACTGCGCGCACACACACGCACGCGCGAGAGGAGGGCGAGAGAGGACGACAACAACGGACTCGGCAACGGACACGCTCTGTTTAAAACGGCGCCGCTTTCGCGAGCGCGCGACCAAGCCGGGTGCCGCGGCTCGACAACTTACAATCGCGCCGTGGACCGCGTCCACCACGTCGCTAATCACACCTGCGCCCGTCGACGTTACCACGGTGTCCCCCTTCGACGCGTCGTCCTTGTGGTTGCTGTGCTGCTGATGATGATTGCTCTTCCTATACTTGCTGGCGATTATGTCCGTCGTGGTGGGACGCGCGTTCGCTTGTCCGCCCGACGCCAACTGGCTGTACGTGTCCTCCATGGCGGCGTACTTGAGGATCAGACTCTGAATCTCCTTTCGCTTGGCCGCCCTGTCCGAGATGCTCGGGTCCTCCTCGTCCTCCACGAGGACGTCGTGCGCGCACGGGACCATGTCGTTCAGCACCATGTCCGGGTAAACTTGCACGCCGCCCTCGACGAGCGGCGTCTTGTCCCGGTCGACTACGACCTGCGACGACTTGCCACTGCCGGCGAGCGTCAGCGGATCGATCTTGCCCGGTCGGGAAAGTCTGAGGGAGGTCGAGTGAGCCTCCAGCTGTTCGCTCTTGCCGTTCCGGTGCGGTCGCACCTTCCGGCTGCGCGTTTCCACATGGCCGGACTTGTGCCTGCCGTAGCGGCGATAACCCTCCGAGTTCAGCAGAGTATGACGATCGGTGCGGCTGTAGGCGGGCGTCTTCTCGCGCCTCGGCTCCCGGCTCATCGCCGAGCTCACGTAGGGGTAGGCCTTTTCGCTCAGCAGCACGCTGGTGGGACTCTTGATGACGCTGCGCGTCACCGACGGCTCCAGAGTCTTGTCGTCGCGCACGAACGGGCTGTCGTCGCGACGGTAGTAATTGTGACCACGCTGCTCGTGCTTCCTGCTGGAATAGTCGCCCCGGGCGGCGCGCTCGGACCCGTCGGCGTGCCTCTTGCCGGCGTACTTGTCCAGGATCGTGCTGTACTTGTCCTCCAGGCGGCTTCGCGTGCTACCGAGCCGGCCGATGTTGGGCGATCGTCTGCCGCCTCCCATGACGCCGTGATCGTTCAGGGTGGACGTGCCCCGCACCCTCGTGGTCAGTTTCTGGAGCAGACTCGTGCAGGAGTCGCTCAACATCTGCGTGACGCTCGTCGTGGTGGAGGAGCGCGCGTAACGACTGCGGGGTCGCGAGGTCGAGCCCTGCCGGGAGGTCGACATGGTGTCGCGCGGCGCGAAGATGAACATCTCGAGCGTCGGCGGGTCTCGTAATCTCGCGAAGAAGCAGCTCGCGGGGGAGCGATCTCTCTCAGGAGGAGAGGAGTAATCGGGCCTCGAGTGCTCAAGGTCGCCCTAACGGATCTCGCGGGGCGATCTCAGAGCGACATGTTCGAGCCTCGGCGGGCACGTCGCGTGAGAGGAGAGGTCGCGGACGAAGAGCAATCCACTGGGACACCGAGGCTGACGGCAGGGTCTTCTACGCAGGTACATCACTTCGGCGGAGAGGCGCGAACACGCCGGCCGCGCGCGCACGAGAGGGACGCCGTCGAGGAAGGCACTAAACTATGACCACGACGACGGTCACGACGATGACGACGGCGACGGCCGGGCGACGTCGGCCGTTCACGAAGACGACGAAGACGACTACGACGAGGAGGAGAGGCGGCGAGACTCGGTGCGCCCCGCCAAATATTCTCTCGTCGCACTAAAAATACCAGGGAGCGGTGGTGAGCCCGCTCACGACGCGAACGATTCGTCCTCCTCTCTCGAAACTGACTCTTCGAGAACGATCAGAAACGGAGCGACGAAGAGGAAAAGAGAGAGAGAGAGAGAGAAGCTGATAGTGTAACCTACGCGCGAGATCGCGGCGAAAGAGAGGGACGGATAGAAATAGAGAAAGAGAAGCCGAGTACAGGTGGGAAGAAGAAGAAGAGAGACGGAAGGTGAACAGAAGAAAGAGAGGGAGGAGCAGATGATGAAGGAGGGATCACCACCGGGTGTGTATTACGTAAATTGTTTCGCGCTTCATCGGGACGGGGTGCCGAAGTTCGGGCCGCGCTCCGAGCTCTCGGCGTACTACGTCGCGCGTGCTTCCTGGTGCGTAGCCGAAGAACAGCCGTTCGAGACAGGCGCGAAAAGGGCGCTTCTCCACGCGCGCGCAACGGGAAAACCGCGAGCTTGCGTTTTCGCAGGCGGCGCGTCGCGCCTGCACCTTGACACACATAGAAATTGCGAAACGGCCGCGACGCCAATTCGATGTGGAGTAGGTCTGCCGCGCCTGACCGAATATTGGCCAGTCCGAGCCGATATTGGCGCTGCTCAACGGAGGAGACGTTGCAATTCGCGGGAACGAACGGAGGAGACTCTTTTTCTCCAACGGGGCTCCACGAGGATCTCTTCCGTTTCTCGTTTGGAAAATGAGAGAGAAGAGGCGAAGTGAAGCTGCTCGCTCTGGTACACCAGAGAATACAGACGGAGCACGCATCTGTTGAGAGAGAACTGACGAAAACGTGCGTCCTCGATCAGTTTCTACAGCAGGTTCCGGTTTGGGGGCCATCAAAGCTGATCGATCTCATGGCGATCCGAAATGAAACGGTGGCATGCGGAAAGCAGGACTCGTCATAACTAGGAAATAAACAGATATACGGAATATGGGACGCGCGAGCGGATCTTAGAGAGGGGGGGAGCAGATCTTAGCTAAGATCGAAGGCGCCAGATCAACGAGAAATGGTTCGTGGCACTCTGGTGCTATTAATAAAGCTCGGGTTGTCTTCAAGGTCGCCGAAACGTCGAAGCGTAAATCGTACTATCGTAGATTTACCCCGCCGAGGCAGATCTGTGTATCGGTATAAATAAGCGACAGAATAGCGACGCAGTTTGTCCGAGAGAGCATCTCGCCCACGAGAGAGAGAGAGAGAGAGAGAGAGAGAGAGAGAGAGAGAGAGAGAGAGAGAGAGAGTGTGTGTGTGTGTGTCACATCAACGCTTTCCTGAAACATCCCCGAAATATTTCCCTGGCGGAGCGGTCGATCGATTTGGCTCGGGATCGGGACTATTTAAGAGTCCGGATGTATGTATGTGTGTGTGTGCGCTCTCTCTCTCTCTCTCTCTCTCTTCTCGCCGCAATAACGAGGGGCGAATTAATGTGTCGTCCGATTGAACGACCGGCCGATGACGCGACGCCTGGAACGATACGAGAGAAACCACTTCGTGGCCGTTGGGAAATTCCGGCGCCGCGCGGACGATCCCGGGAGCGAGCGCGTTAATTGAGAATGCAGATCGACGGTGTTACACAATTAGAGCTGTGACACACGGCAAAACGTGAGCGGTAAAACGTAAGCGGTAAAACATAAGCAGCAGGAAAATTGGCCAATCAAGTAGATCATTCAAGTAGATTATTTTTCTAACACTCGAAGAATAATCAACTATGCGCGGCATTTATAATCGGATCTTATATTTAAGACCGTCTTGAGTTTATCTTCAGATGCTTCGTAGCCAATGAAATGAGCCTCCGTACAGCATCTGTAGAAGATGAACTCGAGACGGTTTTAAATACAAGAACTGACTATGAATACCGGTCTATGATTAACTGACAATTCGCTTACGTTTTACCGCTTACGTTCTTTTTTCTCTGTGCGCCATGACCTTTAGCCGACGCGAGTGAATCGGTGGCCGCGACGAAGTCTCGGGGATGGCGTCAGCCCGCCGCGAATGCTCCAGTGAATCACGCCGCGTCGTCGAATTACGGAATTCCCTCTTACCGAATCACCCGCGTTATTATGACAACGGAAGCGCCGGTGATATTGTGCAAGCTCCGCGCAGAAAGCTCGCTCGGCCGCTCGCGCGTTCTTCCGCTCCCTACTTCGGGAAGACATTGACCAAGGTTAGGCTACGCTATTGGGTTAAAAGCAGCGGGGTAAGGAAGAAGAAGAGGAGAAGAGGGGGGCGGGAGGACGCCGCTGGAGCGTTCGCTTCTCGTTCTCCAAGTTGCGTCTCCCCCGTCGTCGTCATCTTCTTCTTCTTCGGGAACGGGCCACGCCAAATATAAACCGGTGGCGGCTTGAAACGCGTGCGCCACGATCGTCACGCGTAGAGGAGAGCAACTCGCCGTCAGCGCGCCGCGTTTAAATGTTAAAGTCCTGGCTAGTTGACCAGCTCGGCGGAGGCTCGCGTCGTGTCACCGCTGCTGTTACATGGCGGAGGGCCAACAGCAATGGGAGGCTTACACATTCTTCGTGTTAACCCTTTCACCGGGGAAAACATAGTTTCGGTCTTTCGCGTTTATTTTAAGTTTGAAAAAGCCGGGGTAGAAAACGCGGAGCAATCGAGAATCGCTCTCAAAAACGTCTGCCGCGTGCCTTCGACACCGAGGAGGGACACTAGCAAGATGCCGATGACAGAGAAAACTGAGTATCGAAGTACTATTTTAACGTCTGAGATCCGTGGAAAAGGAACCTCTCGAATTTCTCGCGAATCGATTCAAGGCTGTCCAAGTGCCACCACCTTCGCGAGGGCGATTCAACGTGAACGATTGTTGCGGGCATTCTCCGTGGATCGAAACTCGTGGTCGCACTGACGCGCACGTACTTGCGAAGACGACGAAACCGGCCGTATCTCGAGGAAAACATCGTCGAAAGTTGTTCGGGAGAGGATTGAAGTGAGCGCAGACCCGAGCGACTAGTTTTTACACACCTGTCCGCGTCGCTAATCTCCCCGTCTGGTTAACGTAATCATTTCTCCGGCGGCAAAAATGCCGAGATTTCACGAGGCAGACCGCGGCCGTCGAGTCGTACAGTCACCGACTCACGGGAGAGCGAGAGAGAAAGAGAGAGAATCAGGGCAGGTAGGTCTGCGAGAGAGGAAACCGACGAGAGTGCGATCGCGCAAAAACACCGAGCATAAACACGCGGGCACACTCGAGCGGAACAGAGCGGGAATCGAGCGTCGTGGCGTCGCCTTGTTACGCGAAGGTCTCGATGCACTCGTGCTACCTCGGAGGACGACGTATCGTTAGTCTCGGGCGTGACGTCGAGTTTCACGTCGAGCTCCTCCCCGCTGGTGGTGGCCTCGGCGTTGCGGTGCAGCCAGGCGTCCCAATCGTGACGCGGCCACCAGGGCACGTTTCCCGGCACCAGCATGCTCAGTTCTTGGCTCGCCATCGTCCGGAAGGTCGTCGACGACGACGACGAGGACGGCGACGTGGCCGACGCGACTGGAGCGGCCGCTCCGCCGTCGTCCAGAGCCGTCCAGCTTCCGGGATCCAGCTTGACGCGGTCTGCACGAAACGCGCTCCTTCAGCCGCGGGCACCACCTCGCTTCGCGCCGGCTCTCTCACGGGCGACACATCTTGCCAACTGCAACCCGCGCGTATTTCTAAATCCAGGTTGCGAACGATTCTGGGTCGCCGGCCGGTGTGTCGCCGGGCCGTTCTTCTTCTTCCTACCGGCCACGATGCCCCGGTGTACGCGCGTCCGCTTCCGGCGAACCGTCCTGTTTGCGACCGGCGCGACGTTCCTCGACGACGACGGCAGCGACGACGAAGAGCAAGAAGAGGAGAAGGAGGAGGAGGACGAGGATGCCGACGACGACGTTGCGTTGGCCATCTGGCGCAAACTCGCACTAAAACCGCGGCGAAACCGCGTGACGAGTCCCCCACGAAAATAGTCGCCGGTCGAAAATAGCCGGCGTCGGGTAAGAAAGAAGAATCATCGGCATTCGCTCCGGGTATACGCGGCGTGTGTGCTCTTCGCTGCGCCCCACGAGATTCTCCAGAGACTGCGCTCTCTTGCGCTTGGTGGAGCGCGTCGACGCGCTAACTCTTCTCTCTCTCTCTCTCTCTCTCTCTGTGCTTCGCCCTTTCACGCTTCCATCCGTGTATCGATCATCGTCAACGGGGATCCCCGCCACGCGTTAAAGCTCGATAAGTAGCATAAGAACTAGCTCGGAAGTTCGACTTTAAGGAGCCGGACTTCATCGTCGTCGAGAGCTGACTTAGAAAGACAGGAGAAACCGAAACCCCGAAGCCGGTTCCGTTTTATCGCTCGGCTCTACCGATTCCTCCTGCACTGCGTGTTCAGCATCTCCCCGCGTCGATCGTTAAGCAGCTCGAATTCGATAACTAGTATAAGTACACAATAACGAGAAGCTACGAAAATTCACCCTTCTGTTAGCACCGCGAATTCCCAATAAACGTAATCGTTCGAGTTTGCCGTGAGAGTTCCAGGGGGTTGCCGAGTAAAAGCGAGTTCCACATGTACGATCAATTGATTTCTCTGAATTGTCTAAAATCCATGAATCAATGAGAAAGCAAAAACTGAAGCTACTACAGAGACGAATTGGCGACGAATGTTCACGTCTCTCGAAAATACGGATTTAAGACATTCCATGCTCCTTGCTTCTCGCTTATCAGCACACCTAATCTATACTTTTTCTTCCAACGGGTCGATTAATGTGTCATGGGAAAGCATTCGTGTAAAATAGGCGCTATTTCATGTGCACGATATATCTGAAACTTTTCTTCTGCAGTAAAATTCTCTTCGTGTACGAAGCGGGTTATCTATCAGGACATCGTGGAAATATACGAGAGAGTACTGAGTGCGGCCAGCCGCTATTATTAGTGTACGTCTGGATCAGAGGTCGATGGTAGGTACATGATCGGATCGACTGTTCGTAGGTCGTCGGTCGTGTGTCGCGTGTCACGCGTGTGACGCCGTACAACGAATGGCGGGCACAGGAGCGCGTATAAATTACTGACGCTATACTATACGTGTACCATATCATCCCTTGGACTCACCTGACTCCTGGACGGCGATCGATGACGGTGTCGCTCCTGGCTGGGCGACGATGTCGCGTGA